CGGGAGCGGGAGCGGGACCGCCGGGAGCGCTCTCGGGAACGGGAGCGGCGCCGTTCTCGCTCTCGGGAGCGGCGGCGGCGGACGCGGAGCCGCGAGAAGGACGAGCGGGAGCGCAAACGCGGCGGGAGCCGCGACCGCAGCAAAGATCGCGACCGAGATCGCGACAGAAAACGCCGCTCCCGCTCCCGGGAACGCAAACGCGAACGGGAACGCGACAAAAAGGATGAAGGAGCCCCGGAAAACGCCGAGACCCCCGAGGAGATGGGAGGAGGAGGAGGAGGAGGAGGAGGGGACGCGGGAGGAGCCGAGGGGTTACCGGGAGGGGACGCGGGTGACAAACGCGACCGGGAACGGGAACGGCGCCGCGGGCACCGGGAGAGGGAGCGGAGGAGGGAACGCGATCGGGATCGGGATCGGGAACACAAACGGGACCGGGAGCGGCGCGATGAGAGAGCGGCGGGGAGCGGGGCAGGAACCGGCACCGGGGGAGGAACCGGCACCGGAGCGGGACCCGAGAGCGGCGACAGCGGCGCCGGGGGGGACTCGGAAATGTTCCTGTCCCCCGAGGGGATGGCGGCCAGCGATGGCTACCTGGGAGCGGAGAATGGCTACCTGCTGGAGCCGCCGCTGGAGTGACGGCAGAGCGAATAAAAAAAGGGCTTTTAGCGGAAAAGTGGAAATAAAAAATATATATCGGGGGTTTGTTATGGGGAGGGGTGGGGGAAAGGGGGGGTTTGTAAAAAAAAATGGGGAAAATGTTATAAAAAATGGAAAAATTCTGATAAAAACCTCGACAAATTATTATTAAAAAACGGACAAATTATTACCAAATAGATAAATTCTGACAAAAAAAACCCAGACAAATTATTATTAAAAAACGGACAAAATATTACAAAAACCCGGATAAATTCTGAAGAAAACCCAGACAAATTCTTATAAAAAATGGAAAAATTCTGACAAAAAAACCCCCGACAAATTATTATTAAAAAACGGACAAATTATTACCAAATAGATAAATTCTGACAAAAAAACCCAGACAAATTATTATTAAAAAACGGACAAATT